AGACGAGTGTGTGTGCACGTTAGGGGCCGGCAAACAAGGGGTCACTAATGTCCCACCAGAGAGCTCTCTACCAGGCAGAGCCGGGACAGCATGGACATGTGAACGCCACTGAGGCGTAAACGCACACACTGACCTGATCTATCTCTAACACTTAGCCCCTTTCACACCAAAGCTGCCACTTAGGAAAAATGTCTGTTTGCCATCAGTGTGAATGGGTCAACACATGGTTTTAAGACCCTCGTCTACAGCTGGTTTCTAACAAAGGTCTGACAGGTGAACTCTGCTAGCTACAGTTAACATAGCGTTACTAAAGTAGACTTACAGTTTCACACACATTGCTGCAATATGACTGAGGAGCGTAAAATACACTATACACATATACTCCAGTAAAAATGAAGCCCTACCACCTATTTCTCATTTCAAATCTGGGGAGGGTGGGACGTGCCAATATTTTTGTAATTTTCGAAAACCGAGCACAGCCATGTTCTTGTCTTTCAATGGATTTGTATCATGCAGGGTTCCCGCGGGGTCTTAAAAAGTCTTAAATGTGATCATCAGAATTTAAGGCCTTAAAAAGTCTTAAATATGATCAAAAAAATAAGAAGGGTCTTAAATATGATTTAGAAGGTCTTAAAAATCAGTCTAAATGTGTTTTGGGGGAAATGTCCGGGCTGCAAAGTAACCAGTACGGTCGCTCAAGTTGGCGAGGGGTGGCCCTGCACACACACACACATACACAGAGACACACACACACACTTTTTGTCTAACACGCTACAGTTCTGTGTACTGTTATGCTGTTATGTTCATCGTTCATCGTTCTTATGTTGAACAAGAATACATTTACATATTTTTTCTTTCATAGCAATTTTCCATCATACTTTCTTGCCGTGAAATAGATCTTAAATTCTATTCAAAATGGTCTTAAAAAGTCTTACATTTGAGTTGGTGAAACCTGCAGGAACCCTGTCATGGTACACAATGATGTCGTCTAAAGTGACAACAACAAGCACATACTAACAGAAAATTCTTAGAAAATCTGATATTCATTATTTTAAGAGAATATTATTGAAAGATTGACGTGTTTACATCACATCTCATATTATCTCTGTTCAATGCAAACTAGACTCCAGTTAAATCAAACTATTACCTTAATCTGATTACTCTGTATATGTGTGCATGCATGTAAACAAAGTCAGTCTACAGCTTGAGTTACATTTCTTAAATAATTTAGAGAATACTCATAACGTTGTCAGGTATTCAATTCACACTGGAGAAATAATATATGCTTTCCACTTTGGTCATTATAAATGCTTATTAGGAAATATTGTTTAACACTGGCCGCTGTTTCTCCTTGAGTAATTTTATCATCACTTCCCCCTCTCTCTGTTGGCAGGATTTTCAACTTGCCGTTTAGGTTGTGCACAGTCTTGCCTTCAGACAAACACCAAGCTGCAAGATGTCTAACATATTGTCTCTCTTTCCTCCAAATCTTTAAGACTTTCTGAGGTTTGAAAACACTTTTTTAACCCTGCTGCTTTTATCTGTTTGTCCAGGCATGTAACAGTGATCAGTACGCGAAGGTGCCCAGGAAGGACATGGTCAGGATGCTGAAACAGAAAGGTCAGAACAACCGGCCCGGTGGATACCTAGTAGAAAGATAACGTATCTACACAACATTACTCCTTAAACCTTTGCTTCAGTTGTCTGTATTTTTTAAGTAAGTATCATACAGTAAGATAAAGGATTTGTGCATACACAAATGGCAGTAAATGCTGTCAAATATGTGCTTCAGTTTTCATTGCTTTTTTACAGTTTATAGACCCAAGCCATTAATGTAATAATCTAGAACAATTATTTCAAAATGATTAAACTCCTTAGCGGCCCTTAATGCTAATTGGCCGTCCTCGTCCGGTGACATTTCTTACAATCTTTTGTTTACAAAGAATTAGCTCAGCGCCTGGAACCAAAACAGCCTATTGGATGAGTTTTCACCTCACAAGCAGCATCCCTAACTTCTTTGAGAATAAAGTCATTATTTGTGTTGTGTTTGTAGGATTCCTGCAGGATGACAGCGACCACACACACCAGCAGGAAGAGGGGAAGCTCGATGACTTCCCGACCCCCGGTGTGACCCCTGAAATCCCCAGGTATGTTGAGTGTCAATGGGCGCCCCTCTCAGAGCTGGACCCCGACACCCTGACCTTTCCCGGGGGGGCACCCATACAGCTCCACACCGTGCCCCCTGCCCTCCTGCCGAGGATATCGCTCTTCTATGTCTGCACCAGATGTGGCAAGGTGTTCTGGGAAGGCACTCACTTTGGCCGCGTTCTCTCCATGTTTCAGGACATCTTGCACATAACAGACACTGAAGCCGAGGCGCAGCAGCACTGACTGATGTTGCGCTTTACCGGACCCTCAAAAACATCCAAAGTAATATTCACTCAATTAGATCCTAGCGTCCGTGAAACTGAATTGCCTCGTATATATGTTAGTTTTCCCCTTTGTAATTGACTTGATAAAAGTTCTAGAAGAGACTGAATGTCCTCTGAATAACCATTTTGATAATAGTTAGGTGTACAGTTAGTTAACACTAAGCCCACTATTCCTCTATGATAAGTAAGTTCATTTCTTTCTTTACCCCTGAATCAACAGACTGTTTCATTTTCATACCAGGTGGTTTACAGTCATACGAAAAGCTGATGTGTATCATTTCTACGGTTTTAAACCTATTGCGTTTATAAGAGTCAATGAACCAAAGACGTGTAACGCTGCATTTGTGTTTGACTTTTGTTGTTGTTGTTGTTGTTTACTCTTCTGCTTAATTTGTCAGGATTTATGTTATGGGAAGTATAGAGATTATTTGTTCCTCTTGAGTTTTCCCTCGCTTGATAATTATATCTTAAAAGTACAACGCGGTACATTAAGTTTGCATTGTTTAAACATTTTTAAACATTTTTATTTTCTTTTATGTTAAAGCTGCAGATACTTTTTTACAGGACTCTGTTCTTTGGCCTTTTAAGCAGTCTGTCGTACTGTACATTTTTATTTTCCTGTAAATTCATCTGTATGCTAAATATGTGTCAATAAAGAGCTTTCATTTCTTTTATTAACCTGGTGGAAGTCTGTAGAGGTATTTCCTGATGTTTTTCAGAAGTGAGAGAACAGATGGTAAAGGACTAAGAGGGGACAGATTGATGAGATCATCTGAGCTTCACTGATGTCTGTCAGGTGTAACACTAACAGTGTGGGGGTTTCCTGCCCCCAGGTTAAAGAGCACACAGGTCACAGAGTAACCCAACACACACACCGCCTCAATCCCTTCATCTGTTCTCATACCTTTCTACCTCTCTGTTCACAAAGCCTGCGTTGGATGCAGAAAGTGAGATTGCCCAAAACCGTTTTTTTCAGATCTAATGTGGAAAATTCTGCAATTAAAGATGTTCTGGTGTTTTCTGGTCAACTGCTTAGTGCGAGTTTAGTCGAGAGTTTAAATCCTTTTACCCTCATAAAATCCAACCACAACCAGATGTGCACTTTATTTAATTGATGGCTTATCTTGTATCAAAAAGTCCGCAGGTATTTCCAAAGACAGGTCACACTGTGAGTCAGTTCAATGTGTTTTCAGCGTCTTTGATGCAGTAGGAACTCAGAGATCGCCCTGTGCAAAATAATTACATTCTCAACCTATATCGATTATCGATGATATATGGACATGACCTTCATAACCTGTGTTTGCGTAGATGTTTAACGCTGCTTCCCTGTTAGACACTGCACAACTTTGTTTACATATCTGCAAGTTGATTATATTCATTGTTTAGGTTATGGTTTTGGCTATTTATTTAGGATATTTAATGTCTGAATATTCTTAAGAATTAACAGGTCATTGCTCTTTGTAGTTGCATTTTTAGTCTTAAAATTACATGATACTGTATATATCATATTGTCCATAGTTATCTTGGCAAGCCTGCTCAGATATTTGGACCTATAGGATGATCCAGTAACACCAGAAAAATGAATAACATTTCCATGGAACATTTAAGCTTTTCTCTAGAACACACGCACACCGTAACCTGATTATCATATCATAAATAACAACATGTGTAAACGATAAAAAAAATCTTCAGTAACTTCACAAGCTGTCTGTTTGCAGGGAGCTGAGCTGCAGCCCAATCTGTATCCCAGCAAGCAAGCAGTGGAAATTGAAATGGCTTTGGAATGAAGTGTTATATAACCAAATGTGCTTCCTTTCCAAAGTTATTTGAAGGAAGAGGACATTTCTCAGCATCACATGTTTCAACAGCAGGTCAGGACCTCCACTTGTAAGTAATGTAAAACCGTTAACCAATTGCGTAACCTTTGATTCAGTGATATTACACCATTAATAATCCACTTAACTCTTAAGGACATGACGATTGTCGCTTCTAAAGAATAATGTTGTAAAAGTGAGTGTATATTGGAGTTCACTGTATTATAGTGCATGCTGGGTGATCCGGACCTGCTCATATGTCGGAGGTAAATGTAATGTCTTGACCAGAAACTGTCCTGGAAAAAGAGATCATGTGGATTACTGTCTCAGACATGACTTAAGGCTCTCAAACAATTCCATCCTGCAATAATACGCCATGTTTATGAGCTAATCTTGAATGTTTTTAGTTGAAGATATTAAGGGTTATTCTCTTGTGAGCTGTATAGGTTTGAGAGGCATTTCAGCAACTTTAATACCACTTTCTAACAAGGTACCAAATACAAAAAATGTGACCCGACTTTGACCATTGTAACCTAAAGTCATGATATGTTTTTCAGTTATTTCTAAATGTAATAGTTTAACCAGTTTAGACAATCCTGTTGTGATTTTTTACTAATATTTGGCATTTTACCAACTTTGGTAGTAACAAGGCACCATAGACAAAGAAATGCCCCCCCCAAAAACTGACAGACTAATCACATTAATAGTTGAACAAAATATGCAGTTCGATTGTATTAATACTTGTTTTCTTCATTTAAGCATTTAGAAAAGGGAAACAGATTTTCAGCAGTTTATTTAATTATTTCAAGTTCAGACTTTCAGGTGTGGAAGAGGTTGCTGATAAACTGGATGCATGATGTTGCCAGCAGCAGAATGCTTCTGAAATAAATCGGGAGGAGAGACTGTCCTGAATCTTACATTAAATGTAAACAAAACAAAAGTCCCCATACGCAAATAAGGGTTGAACAAGTTGCCTGTTAGTTGTATCAGCTATTTCTTCATACTTCCAGGAATACAAAAATCTTGCCACGTAGCCTTGCGCTTTCTCTCTTTTTTTTAAGAAGACTATAATAACTACAGTAACATTAATCCACCCTGAAGTATTTTTATTGCTCAATAAGTAAAATCGACACCCTAGCTCCCAAAATAAGCCCCTCTCTGTGTGTCTTGTCCTGTCCTTGTCCGGGTGGTCGCAGCCCCTGCCTCTGCGCAGAGCGCAAGCTTTCTGCTGCAGCACCGTGTTATTTGATCCTTGCTCTTTCTTTGCTGGGAAGAAAAGCTCGCCTCTTTCCCACGCTCTGAGGACACGTGGTGCCCGGAATGAATCGGATTCAGAAGGACCTCCCTCTCCCGGTAAAACGTCACCCCTCTCTCTCTCTCTCTCTCTCTCAACATGCTTTCTGGCATGAATGTAAGGCGTAATGATACAAAAAAAAAACTTGACATTTTTACATGACGGTTTTCCTCCGTGTGTCCCAGTGTGTGAGTTTTCCGATCCGGACTCCCCTCTCAGGCGACCCGCATTCAACAGTCTCCTCCCGTCTCGTCTGGCCCCGGCTGCCCCGGCTCTCGGCGCCAAATCTCGGCGCAGCGCACCGATCTGCCCGGCGCTCCGTTTACAACACTGCACCAATCTGGGCTCCGTCTATGTCGCTGGGAAAAAAACACGACTTGTTTATCAACACACAGCAATAGAACAGAGATATGGCTGCAATAATAGAACCAGAATAGACTTGTTTTATCTTTGTGTCACCACCAGCACTGACTCCACAAAACCTCTTCGATAACGCTTTAAAAAACATTATTTGGACGTCGTTTATTGCAAAAAATTACTGCGCTTTTACGCACGCATGGAATGCTCCATTGCTCCCTGTAAACTGAATGGTAGTCTTAACAAAGCTGTGTTGATAATTAGACCTGTCAAAGAGAAAATCAGAGATTGTAAAATAAGTAGGCGACTTCATCACTGCTTAAAGTGTACAAAGCCTCATAATTGTATCTGTTCTTGGCTGCTTCCCAGACACACATTAGACCGGGGGGGGGGGGGGCAAAGAGAGGAGAGCAAATGCCACAGAGTTTGGAGGAGAAACTCATCCAGTCAGAGAAACTTTTGGCTCCTGCGGTCTGTGCAAATGTTTTCCAAGTGTCCAGACACACTGCAGCCAAAGCTCTGATAGCCAACAGATGTTCCTGATTTTCCAGAAGATGTTCCGCACCATTCACTAAACCAAAGAAGAAAAAATCCCATATATATACAAAACATGTAATAAAAACTTTTAGTGATCCTAAAATACCAAATCTGAATACGCAACCATAACCCACAACCTTTGAACATTTCCTAATGTACTTTGAGTTGTTTGAACTAAACTCCAGTGTGCACATGCAGGTCTGTGTCATATGAAGCATGGAGAGAGGAAAACACACATCTGTTAGTGTAGCCTTATGGTAAGGGGTCGGAGTTAGGTATTCACCACATTTCTATCAATGAGTCAGAGCCACAGTCTTTGTTTTAGAGCATTTGCAGCTGTGGGCCACTTGTTGCAGTGGAACAAAACTTCAAAAACAGTCAGTGTCTAAAACAAACAAATCACATAAATTGTTTGCCACATTTCAACAAATACATACTGAGATTATAAAATAGAATTACGTGTTTCCCATTTGTTGGCAGGTGTTTGGCTAAAGTCCATTAGTTTGAACATCAGGCCAACAGTAAAACAACAGTTGGATTAGTGTATGTTAGCATAAATAGTTAGCACTTCACTCACCTTGGTAAAATTCAAGTCGATTCCATTTAAAAGCCTAAAGTCACAGATTTTCCTTTAAGGCTTTACAGCTTGTATAATAACACCTTACCAAACTTGTCAAAAGTTGTGTGCCATGATGCTCCCAAGGGTGTAGAAATAATGGAACCAAGCAATCCATTTTATTTACGTGTTCCCTTAGTCATTCTTTAGATAAAATAGACAGACACATTTGATAAGTACAGTCCTGTACCAGCACTGGTTTCTATAATGTGTGTATTGATTAAGAGTCTGTATGAGCTATATGTTTAAAGTGCTATAACTTAATGGACACATGCCAACCAAAGTCTAAAACAAAGGTTACCCATGACCATTGTAATGAACTCCAAATGTGATTAAGAAGTCATTAGGTGTGTTCCAGTCGACTAAATGCAGTTTTTTGTCATAGTTGACTGAAAGTTTATTCAGTCAATTAGACATTTGTAAATGTTTGTTTCATGCTAACTGGCTTATCTCCAATAATCTTTAAGTAAAGCTCTGGTAAATACACTATTTAAAGTGTAATTCACATAATTGTATGAGTGTATTAGGTCCATGACAGCTTTAGAAATAGTGTACTTGGCTCCATTAAAAAATATTGCTGTACGTAACTGCTGAATGTGATCATTAATATGTAGCCTTCCTGTTGTGTTAGATTATACAAAACAGGTTGTGACCTTCATTTGTGTGATCTCTGCTGCATGTCTCTCACGCTGACTGACGCACATATGCATAGACAGATGCGGCCACAGACGTGCGCCAAATGTACAGTTCAGAGTGTGGGAAAACGAGGACAGTGTGAAAGCCACCAAACCATCAGAGCGGTTTATAAAGTGTAGCACAGATGAGATAAGGTTTACGGTCCGCCAAACGGAGCAGACGCCCCGGGGGACGCTGAGATGTACCTGCTGTGGTTTTCACATTATTCTTTTTTTTTACTCCCATCCACGCAGCTCTGTGACTTTCTCATGTCTTCTTGCTGTCAAACTCCGAGTCTATCTATCAATATCTCTCACCACCTTCAGGCTGCCTTTCACACACACACACACACACACACACACACACACACACACACACACACACACACACACACACACACACACACACTCCCTCTCACACACACACACACACACACACACACACACACACACACACACACACACACACACACACACACAGGCACCCAGTTCCCACGGTGGTGGGGGAAACTGAGCGGCGTGTCAATCTGCGCACAGCGTCACCTCTTTCACTTGCAAAAAGGAAGTAGCGCAGGGGCTTTTGTTATTCGAAGTCCCACAGTCTAAAACAACTGGAATATATCCGCAGTTTATGATTCAAACAGCCACCTATAATCTCCACCCCAGGGTGTGTTTTGAGATGGAGCGGTTGGGATTTTTCTATTTACTGTCGTTACCATTTGGTTCGGAGGTAATCACTGTCTTGGGGATCTTTGAGGTTTAAGATGCGTTCACACCATAGACAGTATATATATATATATATATATATATATATTTATATGAAGGTTCACACTTGAGACATACGCTGTTAAATGCTACTTTTATATGTCTCCCTTGAGCCATAACCATATGGACAATAAAACTCTTTATTTCAACGTGAACTGCACGGATATAGCCTCTCGGTTTTAGATAGCATTTACGCAGAAGAAGAGCAAAGTCAGGGTCCAGCGTTCTGCCCATTTTTATTTCATATTTGTGCAAAAAAAATCCCTGTTGTGTTTTGACAGTGAGTGTTTTAGTGAAATTACAGATAATTCGGGCCACGTAATAGCAAGACATAAACCCGACCCTCCCCTGGACAGCATGTCATTATCAGCCCCTTTTCTGGCCCAATTTAACATAAAAAGGTGTTAATGAGTCCAAGTACCCCCTATTTAAAAGGAAACCACCATCTTAATCAACCATGTCTTCTATGTAAAGTCCAGAAACTATAACCTTTTCCTTTTATGAAGTTAAACATTTTCTCAATATCAAGAGGGAATCAAATTAAGTTTTCTTCAACTGTCACCTGTTGTGACAGGAAAAATGAAACCAAATAATAGTTTTTTCATCAATTTAGTTCTTATTTAAAAATGAATGTGCTATTTTGTTTATTTTCAGCGCACTTTTTTTCACATGAAAGAAATCCTGTCTTATTCTCTGCCTGTCACTGAGACATGAAGAGGCTTGATTGGCTTTTTGTGCGGAGTTCCTGTTGATGTTAATCCAGCGGATGATCCTTTACAACGTGCCCGCTCTCTCAGCATTTTACAGCCCCGGCAGCTCCATGCCTCTGGCTTTCAGAGCTTCCTGGGGTCTGCTACAGGAGATCGGATATAGAGCTCACCATTGCTGCGGGCGGCTTGTTTAATATTTCTGCAGCAGCAACGTTTGGCTCCCTCCTCGGAAGACTCCGCCTCCTCCCCGCAGATTCACAGGGGCCCGGTTCCTCCCCCTAACCGAGCCGGCAGCCTATAACCTCCCCGCGTTTCCGCCCATTCCTCCACAGTTGATTCTTCGGGATGGCATTGTCATGCAAATAGAGGACGCGTAAAATATTCCCCCAGAGCGCAGCGCAGGGCAGAGACTCACACGGACCGCGAGGAGGACACAGCCCGGGCCCCACGGTGGATTTGTATCATTTTCGTCGCTTCGGACCCGTCCATCTGTCACAGGTAAGTCCCAAATCTGCAGCGGCTCACATTTTCTAGTAATTTAGTGGCAAATATCAAGCAGTGTAACTGTGCGTAAACGTGTGCGCACGGAGGTCTCCTCTCGCACTCTTGGATGTGGCGGAATGTGGGGTCTCTCGCAACCGGGACTCATTCGGATGCTTTTTCTCTTGTCTTCCGCAGACCCCCTGGCCACATGAGCAGCGACACAGCCGGGACGTGTAGCCGGGAATCAGGTCGGAGCGTTTAAGGAAAACCTGCCCCGTGGAGATAGTGACCATACTTCCAATTTCCCCAAGAGAAGCCGGAGGTGTCTCCATCCCCTGCAACAGGCTACCTGCTGCTGCTACGGAGGGGGAACTAGGTCTACAGAACCCTGGATCGCACCCTTTTTATGTTTTAGGGATTTCAGGATCTCTCAATATTAACATTTTTGCACACCAAGTGTGTTATTTCCTTTCTTGTCCTTTTTGGGATATACACGGTGATCTTTTAGTACTTTAAAGTGCTTTGATAACTGGTTGTAATCCAGTTTAACTGTGGCATTGTCACCAGACCAGAGACGCTCAACAGGACGATTATTATCAGCTTTAGAGCCCGGGCAGGATTACTGGTTCCCCCCCCCCACCCTCCAGAGAGCTGCAACCATGAGCCAGGCGGATGTCTCGACTTGCTCCGCGCCGCAGAGGGTTTTCCAGGAGGCAGTGAAGCAGGGCAACACCAAGGAGCTGCACTCTTTGCTGCAGAACATGACAAACTGCGAGTTCAACGTCAACTCCTTCGGGCCTGAAGGGCAGACGGCCCTGCACCAGTCTGTCATTGACGGCAACCTGGAGCTGGTAAAACTGCTGGTGAAGTTTGGTGCAGACATCCGGCTGGCCAACAGGGAAGGGTGGAGCGCTTTACACATCGCCGCCTTCGGGGGCCACCAAGACATTGTGCTATACCTCATCACCAAGGCCAAGTACTCCTCTGGCGCCCGGTGATATGTCTCTGCTGTCAGGTAAAACAAGAAAAAACAACAAGTGGAAAATAAAACTGCAACACACGGGAAAGCCAGGCTCTTGTAAAAGCAAAAAAAAAAAATGCCAATATCGTCATAGTTGTGCCAAATTATATTTAAAAAAAGGAAATATAAAGACCTGCACAATAATCTTCCCTCATTGTAAACCAAACGGGGTCCTCTCTGCACTCCTGAGTGTGGCACCTCATGCTCCACACACAGCTACAACACGAATCTTTTTAACAAAAGAAAAAAAACGCCATTTTTGGTGAGTTTGTTGGTACTAAAGCTTTCCTCTTGAATGTGTATACTAGATATTTTCGTCCACTATAAAAGAAGCCAGTGTGTGTGTGTGTATCACATGTGTGTGTTTGGACTCCAGAGTGCAGATGGCCCAGTTTCTTTTTCTATCCATGACCTCCCATCCCCGGTTATACAGTTGAATAGTTTCTTTGTGGGGAGGGGTGGGGGGGAGACTGTTGCTCCTCATTGTTCACTTGTAAAAACCCTTTTTAAGTTATTTTATATGAAACACGGCACTTGATGCTCTATGGCTGCATGCTGGAATATCTGAAAGGGAAGACACAGGAACAAGAGAAGAAGGGTTGCCCTCTGTTGGCAACCAGAGGTCTGTTTTCTTTAACTTTTTTTATTTTACAACACGCTTTCAGATGTGTAATCATGTAACAACAAGGGACTCCATCATTGTTGTGAAGTACTGTACACAATAGCTTTACTTTTGTTTGTTTTTTTAAAAGAAAAAAGTAGCTGAATGCGCTCTTCATGCAGATCTTAGCTGGCGTCCAACTTGTCAGGCCAGTTGCGACCTTTGGTCATTGTGTTATTAAGAGAGAGAGAAACCGCTGCTTTCGCTTTGTATCAAAAAAAGTCGCATTTGGAAATCACTTTATAATCTCCTTTCAGTATTTTATTAACATCCTAGTCATCACTGTGAAAGCAGGCTGGGTTTTTATTTTATTTATGAAGGTACATTGAGAAGATGCATTTTTTTGTTGTTGTGGTTCTTCTTTAACAAAAGTGTCAGAATATCTAGGGTGACTCAAGCTGCTTCAGACTCGTAGTATAAACTGTCCCGTGTGGAGGTAGA